CCGCCTCAGACCAACGGTCGCGCTCGCGCTCCCCCTCCCCGCGCCCCTGACGTCACGTAACCCGCCGCCCCTCCCTCCCCGCCCCGCCGCACCCGCGCGCAGCCGCACGCCCCGCTCCATGGCGGCGCGAGCAGCGGCGGCGAGAGGAGGAGCCTCCGCCTTAAGCCCCGCCCTCTCCCGCACGCCTCTACGGCGGCGCGGAGCGCTCAAAAAAGTCCCGGAAGCGAAACGATGGGGATGGAGGCCGGGGGATGGCGGCCGGGGGGTTGGCCAAGGGCCGGTCTTGGGTCGCCTTCGGCTGGGTGAGGGGAGTCCCCGGGGAGGGGGAAGGCCGTGATCCCTCTGGAACCCCCTCTGGCAGTGTAAAGGCTGTGAGGGAACCCAGGGCCGTTTCCTCAGGGGGTCGGGCCTGGTGTGAGGGGCCTGGTGGTATGGGTGCTGAGGAAAAACATTGCGTCACGCAAAGTTGTGAGGATTTCGGCTCCCTTCTCGGAGGGTTTCTGTTGGCAGGCAGGTTCCCGGCTGTAAAATGGTGCCCTGCAGCACAGGCCTGTCAGGCGCCTTCCCGCCTGGGCTCGGGGCGAGGCACCGGGGGGGGGTCGCACACCCCAAAATCTGCAACAGCGTCGCCGTTCTTTCTGAAGTTGAACGTAGAAAAGGACGCGCCGTGCCACGTCGTTAACGTGAGACTACCCCCCCTGACGTTATAGAAATAACCGTGGCCTTTCGATCACGTGTTACAGCTGGGGGGGAAAAACCCACCCTGCTTTTCATAAAATAAACTCCCAAATCAATTAGTTTCCCATTAAAATTGGCTGGCTGTGAATAAAGCAATATTCAGCCTTTCCGTGGGCTTCCGAGTCTGCCAGCTTTGAGAAAGTGCGCTCCTCGCTTGCATTTAATAGGGTAGTAATTGATTTGTTTGCATGATTTATTATTTATAGAATTAATGTATTTGACAATTACCCCAAGAAGAAGGAGGACGTTGAGAATCCCGACATTCCTGAGCGGAGCGGGATGGAAGGGTCATGGGAACAATGAAACGGAGGTTTATTTTAAAGTGTGTCGGGGAAACGGGGGGAAATGGCTTTTGAATTTGGTTTCTAATCTGCTTGGCTTGGATGCTACCGATACACATCCACCGTCAGAGCTGACTGTTGCTCTGCCAACCAAAAAGCGGAACAAATTCGGATGCTCTTCTCTGAATAGTTACAGATGTAGCCGGGCAGATGCAAACGCCTTTTCTCTCTGCGGCTGCTGTTGATCGCTGAACTGTTTTTTTTTCACAGTGCAAATCAAAGGCCAGGACTCTGCTGGGTTCAGGAGTCTTTCCCCCTCCAACTATGTGTGTTTTTCGAACTCGGTTTAATACCAACGCATTGGGCTAAATGCTGCGGAGCAGCTGCGGTGAGCCTGAGGCTTCACCTTTCCACCGAAGTCCCTCGTAAGCATTCAAAGAAAGTGCTTAGAGCCCTGGTTCTGCAATGGGGTGTATTTAGGAAGAGCCTTTTCACTACCTCAGAGTGCTGCTGGAGCCAGTGGGAATCCGTCCAGGCATAATAGACCACCCATGTGGAGCTGGGCCTAAATGTTTGAAGCTCATTCCTCCACTTCCTACTCACGGAAAACTCCCAGCGACTTTGATATCTCTGTGGGGAGTTCAGGATCGGGCCTTTGGTGAGCAATTTACAACCTCTCTGTAATTCAGCATTGCGATTTGCACTCCCGGGCTGCGAGTGCTGACGCTGTCCGTCTGTCCGCTGTCACCCAAAATCGCCACGCTGCGGCTTGTGGGACTTGTTTCCACTCCAACACACTCTCTTCCGCCTCTCCTTTGAGGAAGGGAAAGCGAGTGAGGTAGTAATGGTGCCATTAATTAATGCATTAACAATCAAGGGGGGCTGAGATCCTACCAGACCACCTACATCTCCCTCCAACCTCCATGCAAGATGCTCAGTAAAAGCTGTTCCTTACGTGGATCTGGCTTCCAAAAAAGAGGGCCTGAGCTGGCTTTCTAGAAATAGGGGTACTTTGCCTTAAGCAAGCGAGGAGTTTGCTAATAGGTGACATCTTTTGTGCTGGTTCAGTTCTCTGCTTTGATTCTACAGGTCTGAAATTGGCTCCAAATCACTTTTCCAGGGTCTCTTCTATCACACATACTGCAGCCTTTAGCATCAGCTCTAGCAGCTTGATGCGGCTCGTACGGATGCCACTGGAAAGCCTCTCTTTTCAGCGGGAAGCAGACATCCTTATAAATGGAGTTAGTCTACTGGAGGTGCCTGAATCACTTCTAACATCCATTTTACCAAATTGCATAAAATAGTCTAGTGAAAGAGGTCAAAAAAAAGGACCCTGGGCTTTCATACAAAAGACAAAATGCAGCTCTTGCTTGAAACACCCACAGTTTGTGAAAACACCTAGAAAAAGGGAGTGCCGGATTAATACAAAGCCTGTGAACAATGCAGGAAGAAACTCCTTGTGCTGCGGGAATCATTTCTCTGAAGGGCAGGCTGAACACACAAGGGCAGCCATGGAAAACAGACAAACTGGACCCAAAGAGGAGCACTGAACTAGCGATATCACTCCGCTTGGTCTTCAATATTGAAAATTAAAAGTAGGCTACAAATTTTAAAGGCAACAGTTTTTAATGAGGTTTTCATTCGCACGGCGTATTAGCTGGGTACTAGAAACTAGTCTTTCAGACCACTGTGAAATGGATTTCCTTGTGTGAATAAACAGCGCATGACTGAATTTTTGTGCTTACGAAATAGCCTGGCAAAGGAGGCACATTAGGGCAGGTGGGGCCGGCCCCGGCTAACCTGTTTGAGCCCGGCAACATCGCTCGCTGCTGGAAAATAGGTGTGGGGTTTGTGTCACCCCCTGTAGCCAGCGGTGGGTGCTATCTCCTGGGTCAGTCACCAGTACAGATGCAAAACTGGTGAACGAGCGGAAAGCTGTGTGCACCGGTGGGTCTCAGCTGGACTGATGCCACTGTTTGCATTGCCAAGATGTCGCTTTTCCATTCCTTTCTTTGTTTCTTTCTTTCTTTGTTTCTTTCTTTCTCTATCTTTCTCTTTCTCTCTTTTTCTCTTTGACTGTTTTCCTCTTTCCCTCTTTCTTTGTCTTTCCCTCTTTCTCTTCTTTCTTCCTTTCTCTCTCGTTCCTCCTCTCCCCCTCTTTCCTTCCTTCCTTCTTTCTCCCTTTCTCTCTCTTTCTCCCACTCTCATGCTTCCTTTCTCTCTTGTCCCCATTCTCCATTCTCTCTCTCACACTTCTCCCTTTTTCTTTTTTGCCTGCTCGCTCACTCGCCTTCTCTTTCTTTGACCCCCTGCCCCATTCCGGCCCCCTCACCCCCCATTTTCCCCCCTCTCCTCCTTTCTCCCCATCTCTCCTTCTCTGTCCCCGCTCCCACCGCCCCCCCCCGGCATTACTCCCGCACAACCGGGAGACCCCGGGGGCGGGCAGCCGGTGCCGGTGCGGTGCCGGTACGGCGGTGCAAACCCCTCGGTGTCCCCTGGGGGGCAGCACACGCCGTGTAAACCCCCCCCGGGGCGGGCAGGTGAACATGCCGAGCACCGGCCGCCCCGGGAACCGACCGCGCCGGGAACCGGCAGCGCCGAGCACCCGCCGCACCGAGCACCCGCCCGCCCCCGGTGGGGGGGACACACCGGCGTGGGGAGAGCCCCCCGAGGAGGGAAAGGGGTCGGGTTAGTTGCTTTCGGGTGGTCGCCGAAGGGAAATAAAAGCTGCGGAGGGAAAACCGCCGCCTCCCCCCGCCGGCGGCTCTTGGGGTGATTCGGGAAAACGCCGCTCCCGGGGTTCCCGCAGAGGAACGGAGAGGAAAACCCGCCGTGCCCCGGAGGAGAGAGCCTTTCCCCCCCGTGCTTTTTGCTCTCTCGCTTGAAAGGACTCCTCTCTTTGCGCTCCCCCCGTTTGGAAGCTGGTTATTTTTCCTAATGATGATTTTTATTTTTTTTTGCGCTTTTTTCTTCCTGCAATTTGAAGTTTGGGCTTTTCCCAGCCCCTTGTTTTAAGTCTGTTAAGTTCCCAGCTGCAGCAAGCAAAGACCTATTGCTGCTTCTTGGTTTTCCTGTAGAAATTCATCTCGGTAAAGTTTTCAGCCGAGGAGAGGTAAGATCCGACCAAGGTTATTTCTCGAGAGCGTACCAGGCTTCTAGGAAGGGACAGCTCTAGGACGCCGCGGGGGTGGCTTTGCTCAAGCTTTTGCATTCAAAAATTCCTGCCTTGTGAAGAGTTACGTTGGTTTAAGAAATCCTGTGTGCTTGTGTACGCTAAGCAAACGCCCTAGTTTTTATGAGAAATACGATTTCTTTGAAAGCCGGAGAGAAAAACGCGAAGTCGTTCTCAAATTATTCCAGGGGAAAAAAAAAGAAAAAAAAAAAGAATAAAATGTTTTCTCGATGGCCGCACATTTACATGAAAAATATCAGCAAACTTCGCAGAATTTACTATTTGTTTTCATTAAAAAAAAATCCCCCGGACGTTTGTTCGGTTGATGAAACCCTCCCAGGACACTTACGTTTATTTCCATCAAAATTAAATAACAATTTCGAAGCGTCCGGCGAAACTTCCCAATCAATTTTTCCATCGCAGATCATTTTTAACCGTACCTCCTTGTAGAGGAGCTGCCTCTTATTTTTTATTTTATTTTTATTTTTTTTTTCCCGGGCTATCTCATAAAATCGTTTCCTTTCTTATTAAGAAAATCTCCGGTAATTAACAGCACCGCCGAGTTCCCACGGCCGGAGCCGGCCGCGGTCTCGTCCCCACCGCCCCGGCTGGGAGCGGCGAAGGGACCCTTCGTACCAGCAAAAATCACAATCTGACTTTGGGGCAAAAAAAAAAAAAAAATCTTTGTTTAAAGCCTTACGAAGCCACACAAATTACCAGGAGGGAAAGGCAGAATTACAGTGTAAGAAACCAAAAGATCACCGCTTAGAAATCAGAGCAGGAGCAAGGGGGGAGGCAGCGGGAAGGAGCCCTGCCGAAGTGACAGCTAATTAATTTCAACCTTATCTCGGTCTCTTCGGGCTCGAATCGATTTGGCAGTGACTATTTTTTTTGTTGGGGTTTTGGGGGGTTGGGGGTTTTTTTGTTTTGTTTTTTTTGTGGGTTTTTTTCGGAGCGGGGAGGGGGGAATTCGCCGTTTCCCACCTTCATTTCTTTGCTGGGCAGATCCACGCTTTTTCCCGGGTGGGACAGGGCAGCTCGCAGCAGTTTTCCCAATACCTGAGTTTACACTTGGTCACCATGCGTCCCTAATTGTCCCGCTCTGATTGCCTCTAATGAAATCATTAGAGAAAAGGCAGAGGGGCGGATTTCACAGGCACAAGAAAATCCGCCTCAATGGCCGGAACGAAAAAAAAAAAAGCCACTTAAGTGCGCCCACTGTTTTCTTTAAAAATGAAATGAAATGAAATGAAATGAAATGAAATAAAATACCCTTAAACTTCCCCAAAGCGGCAGAGGAACCCCTGAGCCCCCAGCTGCCACCCACCACCGGGCGATGCAACGTGGGGAGGGGACCCGGTGGCCTTTCCCGGCGCCAGGCGAGGGACCGCAGGGCTATTTCACTTCAATTAAATATATTGAAATAAAGAGGGGGGGGAAAAAAAGAAAGAACCTGCCCGGCACAGGGGCACCGTTATGTCGGCATGACGGGGCGATGCGGGGATAAGCGGGGTGTCGCGACTCCCGCCGTCCTTGAGATCAACCTGGCTCCACAAAAAAAAAAAAAAAAAAGACAAAAAAAAATTAAAAAAAGTTAAAAACTTGGCTTTTTGATGCAGCGCAGAGGGAAGGTACCGCGGGCGAGCAGAGCCCCCGGGCGCCGGCTCCTTTTGGGGCCAAACCGTTAAAATTCTAGAAAGAAAGGGGGGGAGGAATATATATAATTATTTTTTTTTTATGCCTGTTTCTATGATTTCAGAGTAAGGCGGGCGGGCGCGCGCGGGCGCGCCCCCGCGCTCCACCGCTCCCCCCCCCCCCCTCCCCCCCGCACCCCCCGCCGCCTCCCTCCCATTGGCTGCCTGGGCGGGGGGGCGAGCTCCGCCATTGGCGAAGGGTGGCGGCGGAGGGGGCGGAGCCAGCGGGAAGTCAAAAACCGGCCCGGCGGCGCGGGGTGAGTTTTGAAGCTCCGCGGAGGCGGCCGAGGAGCTGGGCGGCTCCGCGCTAAATCCCCCCCCTCCAATACCCCGCGCATCTTTCGCCAGGGGCCCCGAGGGCTCCGGAAGATTTCTGGGCCGTTGTTGTGACAAGAACTGGGTTTCCGCAAGGCTGCGCTTTTTTTTTTTTCCTGCTTTTTTTTTTTTTTCTTTAATAATTCCCTTTTCCTGCGAGAACAGGGCTTTTTTTCCCCCTCCCCGCCCCCCCTCCCTTCTCCCAAACCTTCCCCCCCTTTCCCCTCCCCCGGGCTCCCCGCCTCAGCAGTAGGTGTGTATGCAAGAATCACGGTAATAAGGAGGGAGGGAGAGGCCGCCGGAGACCACCCAGCCCCCGAAGGATGCTGCTGCGGTGCCGCTGCTAGAGGACACGCTGGGATTTAGCTCGTCTCCGAGACTCTCTCTCTTGTCTCCCGCTCTCTCCCTCTCTCCCCTCTTCCTTCTCCGCAGAGGGGGTGCCGGCCGGGGGGGGCGAGGCCCTTCCACCCTCTTCCTCCTCCTCCTCCTCCTCTTCATCTCCTGCCCGGCCGCGGGAAGCCCC